AATGCTCATCAATCTATCGGCCATTGGATAATTCCACTGATTTATTAGCCAACTTTGAGCCCGACACGGCACGAAGCGACATTTTGCTTTTAGCCAATATTTGCATAAGCCGGAATATTTCATACATCTTATCTCCCAGTTGGAGCGCCCCCTCGGGGTATCCGATGCTGTTGCAGCTGCCGCTGCCCCCACAGACAGACAGAGCATTTTCTTGGCATTTTCGGGCAAATATTTTTCTCACAACGCCCACAGAGCGGCCACAATCTGTATAAGCCCCCCCCATTCGTGGCGGCTCAATCCATATTCACGGAAAGGCCACAAAAATGCTCGGTCGGCCTCTGACTTTCGGTAATTTGAAAATTAATAAAGTCGTTTGTTATGCAAAGTGGCAGGAGGGGGGTGCCGAGTACCGGGTGGCGGATGTGGGCGAGTTCTGTTTGAGGTGCAGGGTGCGGGCTTGGCCCCGGAATTTGCTTGGCAACTGTTTTTTTTGTTTGGTTTGTTTAATTTTTTTTTTTTTGGTGTGAACTGACCTAGGAAAATGGGGGCCATGGCATCTACAAAATTGTGGCACGCACCCGCATGGCTGAATTTTAACATGCGCCTGAGCTGCGAATATTTTAAACTTGAAAAAAAGAAGGGCAAACAATTCTGTAAACATCACAGATCGAAATAAATAATAATAAATTAAAACTCACCTTTTTCATGCCTTTTTCTGCAATCTTTTTTCGCGCGCGAATTTGACCGTTTTCCCGCTTTTTTTGTACCTCCAAATCGGTTCGAAGAGAGCAATTCCAATAAGAGCGCACATAAGGAATGCAGTATTATTATGTAGGGTGAGGCACAAGAGGAAATCCACCCACGATGCTTGCCTATTGTGATCAACAGGCACTTAGCCTGTGAACATCATAAACGAGAGAGAGCGGGACATATTCCAAGAGTTGGCATGCCTCACCCTCTACTATTGCGAGACTTGCAAGGAGAGCGCTCCATGGTCACGCACTCTCTCTAGAATTCTTCTTCTTTGCGCATTTTACATGTAGGAGTGAAAAATAAAAAAAAACTTCGCGCCATTTTTGCATAATTTCTACAGATGCACACACACACTACAAGAGATCTCGTGACCTAAGAAAAAAAAACGTGTGACACCTACACCGATGCTGCGCACATTTTGTATATAAATTAAATTAATTACTGCAGGAAATATTAATCTTAATATTATTAATCGCCGTCCTTCTTCTCTTCCTTGCGCCCAATACGAATGAGAGTAAAAAACGAATGAGACGCGCCTTTTTCTCACACACACCCACACGCACAGCAAGATCTCGTGACCAAACAGAAAAATAAAATAAAAAACAGAACGACACCCTAAGCCGATGGATGCTCCGCATATATTGCACATTAAAAAATGCTTTAAATAATAAAAAAAATATGCTGGTAAAAAACATATGCACAAATGTATGTATGTGTATCACTTGTTGCACTTCACTTCACACATATTTCCGCACATTTTATTCTGCAATCTGCTGCTTATATGCCCCCGCAATTGATCACTCACTTTTTATTGCACTTAAAACACAAAATTTTCAATGTTTAATTACTGCATTGCATTCCGACATGTTTCCGGTTAGATTTTCACAATTTTCCCCGATTTTCGCGGCTTGAGGAACGCGTGCTTAGATCGGACGAAAAAACGAAAGTGTGAGGATGACGGATGCGTACGTGGGTGATGTGATTGTTCCAATTCCAATGCTTTCTTGCTCTCCCTTTGGACAGTGCCAAAGGAAATGGAAAAGGCTCCTGTTTGTGGGAGTGTGAGTGAGACGTAGCAGCTCAGGAGCTCATTTCCCGCTCTTTTTTCTTATTGCAAATTGTCATTGCTGTTTTTTCCCCCTCTCCCTTAAGAAGAGCGAGGCGATGCTTATTGGAAATATGCGCCTGTGATGTTTCTCTTCTTCTGCCGTCTACTAATGCAAAATCAGATCTCAATGTTGTGGTTATGGCCACCTGTTGGTGGGAGTGGGGGGGGTTTTCTGGATATTTGCGACTGGTCTTTTACTTAAAACTACATACATAAATTCTCCACCTTCTGTTTCCCCCCTCTAGCCAACCAGCAACCACACAACAATCACTGCCGAAATACCTGAGAAACAGCCAACTATTTAGTGTGATTTGCAATATGTATTTTAATTATGGTGGTACTACTACTGGCTGCCGCTGCTGGTTCATGCTTCTCTCTTGTCATAAAAAATGCGCGAAATGCAACAATTTAAAAATGCTAAATATGCGCGTATGTAAGGAATGATTACTGCCCGGGGTCTGAGACCTGGAGCTGGGATTGGAGCTGGAACTGAAGCCGCCGGCACAGAGCCCGAGATCTGAGAACATTGCTGGGTATGGACTGTGGGCTGCTGCTCGCTGAATGGCTGCGTTTGGTAATTATGCGCGCAACACGTTCAAGGCGGCGGCAACAACAACAACAAACAGCAACAACAAAAGCAGCAGCAGCAGCAGCGGTAGGTAGGTTGCAACATGTTGCCATTGTTGTTGCTGCTCTGGTGCACTGTTGCCGCGCTGCTGCATTGCGTAAGCGCTTTTGGAAAATTGCATTAGAAAATCCACTTGGCTGCAGCCAGAGCCAGAGCCACAGACGCGACTGCGGCCGCTGCTGCGGCAACAATTAAAGCCGCAACTCGCATGTTTCGCTTCAAGTCGCCTGGGAACCACAAAAGCCAAAAAGTTTTGTGGCCACTGCTGCACTCTTGCCGCCATTTGGCTGCCACATCAATTGGAAGTTTGTTGGTCTCGCTTTTGGGGGGTTTTGGACGTTCTAAAACGCAAAGGAAGATGGAATAACTGTAGTAACGCTGACAAGTGGAAGCTACATATGAGGGAGGAGAGAGTGATAGATGCGTACGTGACTTAGTGCTCGTTCCAATTCCAATGCTTCCATGCTCTCCTTCGTGTGGTAGAGAGCGGAGTGACACGCTTAAAGTGCGTAGCAGTCTGAGTGCTCTCTCACTCGATGCTCTCTTTTTGCTGCTCCTGTGGGGAGTGTGAGTGTGAGGGGAGTGGAGGCTTCGGTGTTGGTGCATTCATTCCATGCTCTCCTTTTAATTGCTGGCTCATTGGAATTCGATAAGGCACTCCCTGATTTTTCTCTCATTAAAGCCTGCCGGAAGGAGAGGGGTGTGGGGGGATCCTGTTACTTGCCCTTCTAGCTTCCCATTTAAACTATAATATAAATGTGTATGTATTGTTCTTCAGCATCGCATGTGGTATTTTCTCAATTTCCAATATTTCAAACACTGCCAGGTAAAAGTATGCCACGCATTGCTGATGCGTTACGGGGCTCAACCTTTCAACTTCCAGGACAAGACCTGGGGAACAGCACCAGTAACACTAGCACCCGCCATAAGGTGTACGAATTTATTAGCATTACGAATCTTTGGGGCGATGTAAATCGCGTACAAGTCGCGCACAAGTCGCGCACAAGTCCCGACCAAGTCGCTGGGCTATTAAGAGTGCGATTTATACATGGTCAAAGAGTGGGCACGAGGGCAGGAGGTGCTGGATGGAAGACACGGCCATGAAGGTGAGGCCGGCTGTGGCTACTTGGCAACACACAAAAACCCTTTGGGGCATCGGCGTAGAAAATTTTAGCTATTTTTCACCAATTAAAAACGGATTCTCCGCAATTCTCCATGCCACCAGAGACCCCTCCAGCCAAAAGTCTCGTCCCTGGTCCATGTGTGCAACTAGTTTTTGCACTTGTAGTTAAGTGAAAAATTCCATGCTGCCAGTGCGCGGCCGCCGCTCCTCTAACAGAGATTTTGCGTAGGTCTTTATTTGTGTTGCAAGTGGCACCAAAAAGAACCGCTTGGATATTTATCACATTTAAAATGCAATAAAAAGTATTTTCCCCAATGGTGTGAGCGGGTGGAGGGTGCAGAGGGGCAGTGCATAAATTACGTTTATGCGATTTTAGTTATGCATTTGCACAGGCCCTAAGTGTCAAAATAATTCATTATAATTGCCCACAGATCATTTTTGTCAACGTTTGTTTTGATGCCCCTTTGCTGTTCGGTTGAGCAGCAAAGGGTATGCTGTATACACATAAAGAAACAATCCCTTATGTTAGCCAAGAAAATATACGATTTTCTTCTTTTTATTAGACATGTACATAATGATATTGTCTGCCTATATTCCTGCTAATCAGATGGATATTGCATCTGCCATGGGAAGTAGGAAACTGCTGTGGCAGCAGCAGCTGTAGCGCTCATTTAGGTACAGGGTATACCCATTGTCCAGCCACTTTACTGTCTTTGTCTTTTTTTTCTCCTTTTTTTTTTCTTTGCTGTCACTGCAAACATTGCGTGCGTTTCCCTAGCGTTTTTTGTTTGTTTTTGTTTCTTGTGGCCTGTCGCCGCTTTTTGGGCTCTGGGAGTGGCACGGCACGGTACTGACTGAGTGAGTGACTGAGTGAGTGAATAATTGCAGGCATGCCATGTTGTTTATACTAAATTTAATTAACGATGACTTTTATTTATGAATGCGTGGCCAGGCGTCAGGCGTTCGGTCACATAAATCGCCGGGCGATGGGCCTGGGGCCACTCCTACCCACCGGAGAGGGTCTGATCAGTTGGGGCGACTCAGGGCTGAAAACACTGAGTCAAAACCTGAATTGATTGGCTCTGATAGGATCTAAATTCAGATCTTTTCTCACCTTTAGTCATTCATAATTCTAGTTGGAGGCAACTTAGGAAATAAATTTTCATTAGCTGTAGGGTAAAGATTATTCATTAATTTCTTTCTTAATTCTTTAGAACTTATTTTAAAGCAGCTGGAATATTTGTCTTCCGGTTAACAAAAGATACAGGTATTCAAGTGAATCCGGCAAACATTTCTAAGATATAAAAACTTTTTAATTATCTGCGAAAATTTTCTGTGCCATGGAATCTTCCATATTTTAGACGACCTTGGAGATTCAACATCACACCTCAGGTGTTCCCATTCAGCGCTGGCTGATCCTCTGGCTGCATGCCCCCAAAGTCTCTCTTGTTGCAACCTACACAGGAAAAAAACACCATATAATATTTATTTAATTTTCCAGTAATTTGGCCATAATTGTTTACGACGTTCAGCAATTTTAATTAGTTTTGTTGAGGCCTGTATGAGTGGTGTAAATGTATCTGTATCTGTGACTTGGCTCTTGGCCCCTGGAGCGTTCCACTTAGCCGAAAGGCAGCCGCGCGCCAGCAGCAGCAGCAGCAACAGCAACGGCAACGGCAATTGCCTGTGCCCCCATGTATGGGGGCAAAGAGAAGCTTTAACCGCAAAAATATTATTGCGCTGAACAAATTTTTAAGTTTATTTTGTTGTGGGCCATAAAAATGTTAACATCATTATAAAGCCTTAACACCTGCAACAGCAGTTGGCCAGCAACAAAAGCAGCAACAATTTTTCGCATCTCGCATTTATCGCTAATCGAATCGCGAATGGGTAGGGGTATGGGTATGGGTATGGGCATGGGGCTCTGGGGCAAAGCGCAGCGACAAAATGTAACTTCTAGCATCTATAAAATGTTGTCGTTGTCGCCGCAGCCGCAGCCACAATCGTTGCTGTTGCTGCTGCTGCCCAACTCACTTTGCATTCATGCGGCAGGTTCTCACGCTCCTTATTGGATGTGGAACGCAAGTGCACGCGAACTGCTGCTGATGATGGTGCTGCTGTTGCTGCCCCATTCAGATGGGGACGACAACTACAACGACGGGGCAAAAGCTTTTGCGTGCTCCACCGCAGGGCGAATGTATGTTCATTGGACTCTGCTCTGCCACCGACGCAGATGCCGCATTCAGTTGCAATCAATTCAAAGTGAGCGGCGGTGGCGGCGGCGGCGGCACAGCATGGCTGTGCAACAATGTTGTTGCCCCACAGCTGATGATGCCCATGCCCATGCCCATTCTCCTTACATATTTATGTATGATTTATGCACTTGGCAGTGGACTGGCCTCAGTCGTTCAAGGGAATATTTCTTGCTATAGGAACCAAGATAAACCTAAAATATAATATAGTACGAGGTATTAAAATATAGTAGTAGCACGTGACAATTTCCAAATTTTGCTCTTCCTAGTTACGCATCTTAAGTACCTATTATAATATTGTCTTTGGTAGTACCTACAATATTTTTTACCAGCCAATTAAATTACAAAATATTTTTTTTTGTATTACAAAATTTTATTGAAAATTATATGAGTGAAAAACGAAGTAACTTTTTTTTTTTAAGTACATATTGAAAAATAAATGGTGGGAGACTTTAGAAACTTCTTTAGATAGTTTTTAATGTTTTTCAAATTTTAATGTGACTTCTTGTCAATCGAGAAAATATTTATAACTTTTCAATCGTTTTTTAATTGTATTAAAAATTGAAAGGGGAAAAATTAAAGATATTTTTAAATGCTTTTTACGTTTTAATTCCTGACATTTTGTCAATCGAGAAAACTATTTATGCTTTTCAAAGTTTTCGTTTTCAGTGGTGCATTCAAAATAAATTCCAAAAATGTTCGTTAAACGGTTATAGAAAATGTAACTAACATATACTAATTAATGTTGATTTAATGGATGCTTCACACATAAAATCTGTTTCGCATTCAGTTCAGTTCGTCAAAATTTCATAACAAAAACTTAACTTTTTCATTGTCTGTCATTTCAATATTGAATATTTCTTGCTTGTATCACCAAGTCGTATGAAAATGTATTAAATCTATTGATATATATGTATATATATTATATGTAATCACATAGCCTTTCAACTGGGGTACACTTGTCTATAACTGCAGTGTTTTTTTTTTTGTCAAAATATAAAGGTATTCCAATACCATGTGTACAGTTTTCAATGTTTTGTTTATAGAGTATAGAATATGTGTAGGGTTAATCCTTGTTATACGTTGAGTAGAAAAAAGTAACTTTAGTTTCATTTCACATTTCAAAAAGTGTCGTTAAATTAATAGTTAACATTCGAAGAAGTATAAAGAGCGAGACTGATGCAGCCTCTGGGAACGTTTTTCCGTTTTCAGTTTGTTCATTTAGATAGTTTGATCTATAATAATAATAATGACTTGACTTTCCGACTAGTCGATCGGAAAGAGAAAATTGTTGCTTATTTTTGTTTTTTTTTATTATTTGTGCTTACTCTGACTCTCACTCGGACGATGAATGTCCTGATATTGGGACATGTGAGCTACCACATGGTTGGCAATTATCTGATACTGCCTGTTGAAGGTCTCCTCCCAGAGTTGCATGGCACGGTTCATGTGGTCAAAGTTCGGATGCTCTGATGCCTCAGCCTCTGGGGCACTGCTGTCCTCAGCCTCTCCTGAGGCACTGCTCTCATCACTTCCATCTGGGTCTTTGGTTTCAGCAGCCTTTGGGTCATTGGTCGTACCTTTGGCTTTTTTGGTGCCGCTCTCATTGTGTCCGACATCGCTGACACCATGTCCCTCGCTTTCATCGCTGGTACTGCTCTCATGGCTAGAATTGCTGGGATTGCTCGAACGCCTGACCAGTTTAAAACGTGCGTGTCTCATCTCAAAGCTAGTGACAGAGCTGAAGGAGCTGCTGCCGGCCACGCTGACATTGCTCAACGCATCCTCCTCCTCCTCCTCCTCCTCCTCATCGACATCGTCTTCTGAGTCCTCATCGACATCGTCTTCTGCGTCCTCATCGTCATCATCATCTTCATTGTCCTGTGGATCCGAGGAGCCAGAGGGATCGTAGACAGACGTCTCAATGCCAGAGGAGGCACTCTCCTCTGTACTCTCCCCAAAGCCGCTCGATGGGGAACTCATTTCTTCAAAAGCCTCCCCCTCTTCGGATGTTAAGGCCGATTCGGATGATGTTGCCTCATCGTCTGCAACATCGTCCGGATCAGCTGCAGCTACTGGTGCTGCGGCAGCCACTGCTGGAATATCCATCTGATGGGCAACATGAACGCTCAGCTTTCCCAGAGCTGGTGGTGGCTGCTGTGGCTTCTGCTGCTGCTGTTGCGGCTTCTCCGATTTGTCCTGTTCTGTGGCATTGCCATAATCCGTAGAGTACACTTCCATTGCCGTCTTGTAAAGTTCGTCCAGCCAGTCCGACTCATTCTTCACCTTGAATCTCTTTTTGTAATCATTCAGGCGCCTGATTATGCTCTCCCTGTTCTCAAACTTCATAAGGAACTCATTGTGGGCAAGAATTGGCAGCAGGGACTCAATGCCGGGTCTCTGAAATAAAAAGGAAGACCTTTTGTTTAATTTCTCCATCTACAACTATGATCCATGCACATACCTTGACGCTCCTGAATGCTGGGTGCAATCGTACAAACGAAGAGCATTTGTGGTACCAGGAACGAGGCTTGAGGGATCGACGGCGCCTCTTAAGCACTTGCCGGCGTGCCCTGTAGCGCTGCCAAATAATCTGGCCATCGCTCTCCGAATATTGGCTGACATAGGAGCCATCACTGGCATAGCCGCATTCCAGGCTGTCCGAAACGATGCTGCTGGCATCGTCCACCGTATTCGATAGGACATGCGGCTGCAGTGTGGTCGAGCTGTTATCTGTGCCAGGCACAGCCAGGCAATAGGTCTTCGTGTTGATTGAATTCACTGGCGGCCCTGGGTGAGTTTCAGCCGAGCAGCCGGTCGACTGTGTTGGCTCTTGTGACCCATCCGATGGTGTCTGTGATGTTTGAGGAGACTCTTCAACTTCCATGCCTCTCTGGCGGGACTGTAGCGGATTTTCTGCGGTGGTTTCGGCTCCAGCCGAGCTGCCAGTGAGCTGTGTTGGTTCTTGGGACACATCTGTTGGTGTCTGTGTTGGTTCCTGGGACACATCTGTTGGTGTCTGCGATGTTTGAGGCGAGTCTTCTACTTCCATGATTGTCTGGTTGGTCTCTAGCGGCTTGTCTGTGCTGGAGCAGACTCCATTTTCTGGCCGATTCTCCTTGTTGTCTGTCGAGGCGCGTGGCTGAGCAGCCCTGAGGCAAGGGCTTATATTGGGCTTTGATAGCGGACTTAAGTTGCTTTTGGAAGATTTTTGTTTTTCGGATTTGCGCCTTTGTTTTTCCTTCTTTTTTGCTGCCGAGCTGGTGCTGGGCTTTTCATCATTCGGCGACAGAATCTCATCCACTGGTGCGGGCAATGTGAAGTACCTCAAACGGTTGGTTGGTTTCCTCCACTGGGGGATATGTGATTATATCAAATTGTAGATTTGTTGGCTTTTCATCCTCCACTGGAGCGGGTGAGAGAGCCTCTTTGTTGATTGCATCCTCCTTGGCCTGAGGGGCAGCAGACTCCTCCACTTTGGGCACATCGATTTGTGGTTGTGGATCCTTGTCTCCCTGCTTATCTTTTACTTCATTCTCTTCCTGTGTCACAGGAGACACATCTGTCGCCACCTTATCAGCCTTTTCATTGGCTATTTGTTTGGCCAGCTTGGTGGATTTTGGTTTTTTGATTTGATTCAGCTCGTTGTCGTCCTGCTCATTGGCCTTGGACTTGAAATAGTATGGAAATTGATAGGCATCAAACTCAAAGTAGTTAAAGTCCTTTGAGGGCGGCCCCTCTGTGGGGAACTGCAGGACGGACATGCCGGTGCCGGCTTTGGCTAGAATCTTCTTAAAGTTCTCGCTCTGCTGCGGCGACGAGATGAATGTAATGGCTATGGCCTTGGAGCCAAAGCGACCGGCACGTCCAGTGCGATGAAGATAGGTGACATGATTATCGGGCGGGTCCAGATTGATGACCAAATTGGCATGATGCGAGTCCACGCCACGTGCGATCAGATCCGTGGCCACAACGGTGCGCACCGAAAAGTTGCGATAGCCCTCAAAGACTTCGGAGCGTTCCTGCTGGGAGAGGTCACCCGAGAGGAGCATGCACGGTATTTCGCCGGCGTTCAGGTAATTGCAGTACGAGTCCGCACGCATTTTGGAGTTGGAAAAGAGCACTGCCTGCTCGTAGTTTAGCTGGGCGAAGATCTTCTTCAGGGCCTCCAGCTTCAGGCGCATCTCCAGCATGTTGTTGACCTGTTGGGGCAGCTCGTAGACAAACTGCCGGATGCCCAGGAGCACGGTGGCCCGCTCGCTGTTCGATATCAGTATGGGCTTCTCCATCATCTTGGCTATCTTCTCGTCCAGATTCTGATCAAAGGTGGCGCTGCAGGCAATTATCTGGCGCTGAAGCGGCAGCACCGCAATCAGTGCGTTCACCGTCTTCTGCAGGCTCTCCGTCATGTAGAGCTGATCGGCCTCGTCGAGCACCAGCAACTTGACGTGCGACGTATTCAATACGCCCTTCTCGTGCAGCTGCAGCAGGCGGCCCGGTGTGCCAATGACGACATGACAGTGGCGCAGCTTGTCACGATCCTTGGTCACATCGGTGCCGCCAATAAACGAATTTACCCCTAGTGTGCGCATTTTGTTCCTAGCCAAATAATGGAACGTGTCGTGCACCTGAATGGCCAGCTCCCGTGTTGGCAAAATAATCAAAACCTCCGGTTTTGGCCTCGACGTCGGATGGCACGTCTGCAGCGCGGCCACCACATAGATCAGCGTCTTTCCCGTGCCGCTCTTGGACTGCACCAACAGATCTGCTCGCGCACAAACATGGAATCAATGTAAATTTGGGTTCTACTTTTAATATTTCACTCTGCGCGAACACTTACCCATTCCAGTCAGAGCCATGGGTATGGCCGCAGCCTGAATTTTCGTTGGCGTCTTAAAATTATTGGCAGTCAAGCCGCCCAGTACCTCTCGGCGCAGATGCAGGTCCGAGAAGTGTTGCACTTTGCCAGCCTCCACGTCGCTGGTGCGCTTTTCGCCATTCGCCAAATTATGCGCAATTGCGCTGCCCTCCATTTCAGTGCAATTGTTAAATTTTAAACAAACAAAAAACAAACGCGGTCGGTCCTTGGCGTCGCACTAGAGGTGTCAAACCATCGAGGGCACTATCGATAGTATCGATATTTTACTGCTAGTCTCTACTATCGACGGTTTTGCGACTATCATGATAGTATCGAGCTACAGTCGTTGCGCTTTTGATATGTTTGGATTGGCTGCTATAAAATACGAAGACAAATTTGTAAACAAATCGACAGGTGGCATCTAATTTTTACAATGGACAAGTTCCAAAAAGGTTTCAATGGTTTTTTAATAATTATTTGAGCCCGATACTATTACGACAGTATCGATTGTTTTTTTCAAAACATTCAACGTTGATATTCCTCGATTTTGATATTCCGTTTAATATTACTAGCTAGTTGGCCCTCTCAGCCCTAAACAAATAATTTTATCCGATAGATACATACATTTTTTAAGAGATTGGCAAGTTTTCAGAAGTCCTTTTTATTGGATTATTTACATATTAAGGTTCAAACAAAAACAGCATAAAACGAATTTGTCGTCGTTTTGTGGCGCTGCCAGACTCGTGCAATTCGTAGTTGCTGCGGGCTGCCATACCGTGATATTTTGTGATATGAAATTCGTCAATTTTGATATTCAGTTTAATATTACTAGATAGTTGGCCCTCTCAGCCGTAAACAAATAATTTTAACCGATAGATACATAAATTTCCTTCAGGATTGGTTAGTTTTTAGAACTCTTTTTCATTGGATTGTTTACATATTAAGGTTCAAACAAAAACGGCCAAAGCATAAAACGTAAATGTTGACTAAATGTGACGTCGTTGTTGCTGGTCAACCAAAGTTTCTTCGATGCGTATGGACCTTTTTATACCCTATTTCCTTTAATTGATGTTAAGTTTGTTGTTCCAAGCTCCATTTAAAACATTTATAATGAGATAATCCTAGATTTACATGTTTTATACCTATTAATGCATATGTTTTGTGTTGTATATATACATTTACCCCGGTTCTGATACCTTTTATTGGTACCCTTAAGCTGCAAAATTTCGTTAATGTCTTTAAAACGTTTCAGCATATCAATACTCCAATCATGGAGACTTAGATTACACACATTACCGTTATTCTATAATATCCATTTTTCCAAGGTATTCAGATGTGTTGCTCATTCAGTGCCAAAATTGTACAGCAATGCTGCTTAATCATTTCCCCATGTTGCTAACGTTTTTCCCATACAAATCAAATGTATCTTACGGAAACGTCGCAGCAATGAATCTACGTTCCATACGTTAGGAACATGTGGCTCACACCACGAAAATGAGGGGAAGTCACCATGAAAAGCGCTAAATGGAATTTGGCGGTCATTTTTAAAAGTATCTTAATGTATGGAAAAATAAATTGGAACTTGAGTAAATATACTTGTACCGAAATATATGTACCTTTTATTATTAATAATATGCTGACGGACACGACAAGATGCGTTGATATTCCTCGATATTAATATTCGGTTTAATATTACTTGCTAGTTAGCATTCTCAGTACTAAACATACAATTTTATCCGATTAATGAATCCATTTTCTACAAGATTGGTTATTTTATGGACTCACTTTTTATTGGATCTGTATTTTGTTTTATTGTTTTTACTAATGGCCAGTAAAATATTTGAATTTTCTTTCAATAAACGACATTTAATAGTCAAAGGAGGACATTGAAGTCTACGATATTCTTAAGTTATTGATGGTATAATAACGTCACAAAAACTACACAATTTTCTGTTTTTAAGGGGGCATTTAGTTTTATTTATTTTAGACTTTTGCATATTTTATTTTCGACTCTGAAACTCTGGCAGCACTGGACGGCATGCGAGTGACTCTCAAACTGTTTTCGTTTGGCGGGCAAAATTGCCATTTGAATTGTACTAGTTTTGCTTTTCCGAGCAATTCTGACATGTGTGTATGTCCAGCTACAATTCAGTAGCAAACCTACACTAAGCCTTTAAAAAACAATTTTTTTCATTAAAATTTTTGTTTGGATTTACGTTTAAATTCAAAATTCGCCATGTTCAAGTTCAGAGACATTGTATATTTCGTTATACTCACGGGTCTGCGTGTCTGTGCCGAAATACAGCCGACCGTGGAGGCCCATGCCAAACTGAATTGGAACAATTTGACGGTGGACCGTAGCCTGCGGCTGAATGTGGGCTACCTGTACCAGCCGTCGATGCTGCTCAGGGCCATGATGTACTCGCTGCTGACGCTGATTGGGCTGTGGTATGGCCGCCAGCGGGATGCAGTGCGGCGGGCGAAGAGGCGCCAGGAGCTGGCCGAGCATCGGGCACGCAGCAAGAGCATTATCAGCAGTCCCTCCAGCCAGTGGATAACGGCGCAGCAGGTGATGAACGAATGGGTGCGTCGGCGCAAGGAGGCGTCCATAACGGAAATCCAAGTGGACGCGGCAGCGCTCGACATGGAGCTGGAGCAGTCGGAGGGCTCCTATTTTCCATGGATGAGTTTCCTGCTGTTTGCCCTGCCCTGGACCTGGACATTTGTCGTCACCGGAATGGTCAACTATGGCCGGCTCCATCTGGTCCTGCAGCACTTTTGCCTCACCTACTGGCAGACGGTGATGCTCTACCTGAACATCCAGATGATGTTCCTGCGCCGCATTATTGAGGCATCCCTGGCCTCCTACTGGCAGCAGTTCCACGGCACCGTCGAGGATCCCAGCATCAAGCACATCAACTACATCAGCTTCGAGACGCACCTGCTGTCCATGGAATGAGCTGTGAGCCGTGAGCTGTGAGCTGTGCCGTTACCCCCGCCACCCACTACCAACCACACATCTCCTGTTACCAATCAAAATGCGATTCATGTAGTCCCTGCGCCCCCACCACAAAAACAAGTCCCCCCCTGCATCAAATAAAAGGCATTTTCTATCAACAAACGAGTCAACTTTTGCCATGAACCACAGCCATAGCCACAGCCGATGGCAGTTGACGGGCTGGACAAACTTTTCTGACCACGTGGGAAATATGCAGAATTCATTTTTTGGTTCAAGTTTCTATTTTTTCCTTTGCCATGTTTTCATTTGTTGGCAGCTGGCAAAGCCAAACAACAAGCTGTAATGGGCAGTAGTTGTGGGCGGTCTACCGGGGGGAATTGGTGGCAAAGTCGCTTTAGCCAGGAACTACAGACTGAACCGCTAGATATTTAAGCGTATTGCAGCTAGAAATATTTACAGTTTGATACGGATTGAAGATCTTCTTCTGATCTTACACAGATAAAGTGTAAATATTCCCATCACATGGCATTTTCCACATTAATTCATACAATATCAATCCCAGCAAGCCCTTGAAGCGATTTCAAATCACTTTCAATATATTTCTATTGATGTTGGCACTCTGTATATTTTATATATTATTTTTACCCACAAAAACTTCCTGCCTTTTGGCCTCGAATTTGCTTATTATACAGCACAGCGTTTCGGTGGATCAAAGTACAGAAAACATTCACAGCTCAAACAAAAGGATCAGTGGGGTTTCCGATTCCCTCAAATTGGCTTCTAGTTTTAACTTGATGGTGAGTTTAATTGTCTTTGCTACGTATGCACAATATTCTAGAGCTCAATAGAAACCACTAAGAGCAGTAAAGAAATGGGTGGACCTCCTCTTTGGATAGTTTATTGGGGGTGCACTCTAAAAGTACATCTATAAACCCTTCTGTGATTAGTGAAGTATCTTCCATGCATTATTATTATCAAGGTATCTTTAGCAATATCTTTAGCTAACTTTGGTTGGCTTTGATTAAAGCCTTTTCCATCGGAGAATTATCTTACGGATGGGCTTAAGTTTATAATAATAATAAATCCATAGCTAATACTCCGCCAAAGGGTATGCATATAATCCCCTGTGTATACTCATTCCCACCACACCCATTTTGATTCCATATTTCTGATCTTTATGTTTATCTTTGCAGTTGCTGGAAAATTCCTTTAAACCTTAAATCATTCAGCTGCCGATCAACTCAGTTCGTGTTCGTATTCACATTTTGAGTTGCTTGACTCTGCCGTAAATAATCCTTATTTATTTCTAGGCAGAACACATCCACAAGATACAAATATGTATTCGCGGATGCCGATGGCCCGATCTCTGGCGAAGAGCTGTCGTCTGGTGGTGCAGCAGCGGCGTCTGGCATCGATTGCCTGTGCCGACGCCCATAAGGGGGGCAAGGGCCTCGTCCTGGGGCTGTACGAGAAGGAGGCGGGCAGGGGGCCACGCCTGACGCCAGCCGGCGAGAAGTTCGACGACCGTCTGCACGGCAAGCTGAACGAGCTGATATGCGAGACCAGGATCAGTGGTCGCCTGGGACGCGGCAAGGTGTTCAACAACATCGACGAGGAGTTCAGGTCGGTGTGCGTGGTCGGTGTGGGGCTCGAGGGCATCGGCTTCAACGAGCTGGAGATGATCGACGAGGGCATGGAGAATGTCCGCGTGGCCGCCGGCATTGGTGCCCGCTCCCTGCAGTCAATCGAGTGTATTGAGATCCACGTGGACAACATGGACTACCCGGAGCAGGCGGCCGAGGGCGCATTGCTGGCCACCTTTCGCTACGAGGACAACCTCTCCAAGAAGTACCGCTCGATCCAGCCCAAACTGGAGCTATTTGGGTCGCCGGATACTGACTCTTGGCTGCGAGGCCTCTTCAAGGCGGAGGCCCAGAACATCTCGCGCCTCATCAGCGAGGCTCCGGCCAACTGCATGACGCCCACGGCCTTCGCACAAGTTGCCGTGGACAAGCTCTGCCCGTGCGGCATCACCGTGGAGGTGCGCACGATGGAGTGGATCGAGCAGCAGCGGCTGCACTCCTTCCTGACGATTGCCAAGGGCAGCTGCGAGCCGCCCGTCGTCCTGGAGCTCGCCTACTGCGGCACCTCGCCCGAGGACAAGCCGGTGCTGCTGGTGGGCCAGGGCATAACCTTCAATTCGGGCGGCATCAATCTGCGTCCGTGCAAGGGCATGGACGAGTTCCGTGGCGACTTGAACGGAGCCTCCTCCATCCTGGCAACCATGCGAGCGGCTGCCGCCCTGTCGCTGCCGATCAACATAACGGCCATCCTGCCGCTCTGCGAGAACCTGCCCTCTGGCATGGCCGTGAAGCCTGGGGATGTGGTCACCCTCCTGAATTCCAAGAACATGGCGATTCGGAATATCGATCGCACTGGAGTGGTGGTCATTGCGGATCCCCTGATCTATGGCCAGCAGACGTACAAGCCCCGTCTTGTCGTAGACATTGGATCGATGTGCAAGGGCGTGAAGAAGGCTGTGGGCGGAGGCGCCACGGGCATCTGGTCCAACTCGCATTATGTGTGGAAGCAGTTCCAGAAGGCTGGATCCCTCACCGGGGATCGCTTGTGGCGCTTCCCGCTGTGGGACTTCTACAGGCGCCGAGTGGCCAATCACATAAGCTTCGATCTAACCAACGACGGCGATGGCCTGGCCTCGTCCTGCCTGGCGGCCGCCGTGCTCCACGAGCTGGTGCCCTGCGCCGATTGGGCCCATCTCGATACTTTTGGCACTGGCCTGATGTCCACATACGGCCTGATACCGTATCTGCGAGCGGGCCAAATGACGGGACGCCCCACCCGAACTTTGGTGCAATTCCTGTATCAGTTGGCATGTCCCAGCGAGTAGCTGTTCGGTTCAGCTGTTGATTGGATCGGATCTATATTTGTTTTTATTGTTTCGATTGTTTCTATATATTTTAGCAGACAACACAGACAGAGGTACACGCCACACAGTGGAATGAATGTCTTTCGGTAACAAATTCAACAGAGCAACAGCAACAGCAACAGAATACCAATCAATGCACCAGCATATAAACATATCGTATAAACATATCAACAGAAAATTGATGTATCCGTAAATATATTAGAAATGTTTGGCCTTAATACAAATTCAATTCAATTTCGTTTAAGGGAATTTCTGATTTATTCAGAAGGAAAGTACAGAAGGAAAGTTGGAGCCTAGAAAGAGCTGCAGTCGATTCCAAGATTAGTTCTCTTTTTTGCTATTTTTACTTGTGGTAAGACTACACTGATAGAAAAAAGGCATAGTAAAAATAACTACAATCATATTTGAATTTAAAATGCCATTTTTAAATACAAACATAGTAAAATTTAATAGAATTCACTTTGATTCAAATATAAATGTATTAAAAATGCTTTAATACGGTAATATTTAATCTAAATACCAAACGCTTCAAAATAACTATAATATATAAAATTTGTAGTTTAATATATTCATTTAAAATTTAATATGTTTCATATTTAAAGCTAATATGCTTCATATTTAAATTGAATATATTTAATATTTAAATCTAATATGTTTCATATTTATATGTATATATATTTCATTTTTAAACTAATTGGTTATATTTTGCATACGCGGACTACATTTCAAGTCCTCATGGTGTGAATTGGTTAAAGTTATTGCATTTAAATATTTCCATATTTATATAAAAATTGAAGTGAAAAATATTCAATTTTAATACAACCACTCTTGGATGAAAATCAATGGCATAAATATTAAAATCTAAGTGAAAATATTAAAATATCAGGGCTTTTTTCTATCGGTGTACTACATACCCTACATGCAAGGTATATTTATGGCATTTACATCAGTTTATTCCAGTCAAAAGGGTTCATTTCTGTACCACCACTATATTATTCTACATTTAGTAAACTCTGTACGAGTAATCTACACAGCTCTGTGCATTTTATTATTAGTTTAAATGGCTCAAACCACGCATCTTTCATCTTTTGTTATGCCCGTTATAACTCGCTTTCCTTTAATTTTATCTTCCTTTAACTTGCCCCCAGCCACTATCGATTTCTTAAGGCCCCCTTAGGACCCGCTTAAGCTTTCGTTCATGCCGAATATTAAGCACAGTTTCAGCCATTTTTGATGCGTTTCTCTGGCCCTGCGATTAGTGTCAGGGGTTAAGCCGAGATTTGTTGGCTACTCTCTCTCGAAAAGCTGCAGGCCAGACAGGCACAAAGCAATGACCCCAGTGTCCACTTCCTCCCACTCTCTCTCTATCTCGTTTGACCTTCTCTGCAAGCAATGGAGCTTTGGGCATATCAATGGAGGAGCGTGAGGAGCCTGTGGTGAAAGGGTGCATGCAGGAGGGTTATCCACAGAGTTTGTGGCGAAAGTTTTTAGCACGTTATTGATGCTCCTACGACGCGTCGCACAGCTCCAGCACAGCTTGGCCTGAACGTGCCTCCTGACTTTTGGGGCCAATTGAAATGTTGTGCACTCAATTTGCGTGCTAATTCAATTGTTCAAGCCCAAAAAAGCAAAAATCCTATCAATTTACAGCGCACTTCACTCCGTATGCAACTTTGGGCCAACGATCGATCCATCATAAAGTTTTGGCTGTTTTTGGCCTGCATATGACAGGCAAATCATTTGTCACTATTCGATGCCAGCGAGAGACTGTTGCTAATTGAGTCAGAGTAAGAGAAACTATAATACATATTTATGGCATAGAAACTTTAATTAAAAGTCTTCAAGTGCATGCAGAAAATTGTGTGTGTGTGTGCCCCCACAATGGGCTGACCCTGTCAACTTTTCGTAATGATAAAGTGTTTCACATTATACTCGTAAAATTATGCAAAACTGCAACCATCAGCAAAACAGAAGCTCGCCAGTGCCTGGGCCCTGGGCCCAGCTCGCCCCACCTGCGCTCTGTGCACCGTGTGAGCGGTGTAAAAACTTTTATGGCTTAATTCTACGCCTACCACTAGATGGGGTTTTTTTTTTTTTTTTTTGCCAAATTTTGGTAGGGCTGTCATCAAGTTTGCTGGCCTGCCAACAACGTCAGCGGCTGCCAGAAGCTTTTTTTATATTTTTTTGAGGCTTAAAACTATTTAGGTGTCAGCTGTTTGGGGCCTGACATTTTTGGTTAAAGTTTTTTCGCACTACTTTTATGTCATTTAATTAGCCAAAGGTCGAACTGGAATTGAGTTGTGCTTTTGCTGTCACTCCGATGCGATCTGTTTGGGCATTACGTATACCTGTCCTCCTCCCTCTCTTTCTCTCTCTGTCTCTCTCTCTCGCCCTATTGTTATTTATGACGAGAAACGGATATGCGGATACTGGAACATCGACGTGTCATGCCCATTCCGGACAGCTGCCGATGGTGTCCTGCCATTTCGCTGGCTCTGGCAATGCACAATGGCAGGAAGGGGCGGGGTTCGGAGCAATGCCAGTTGGCCTTCCGACAAATCGTTTTGAGCCCTTTCCCACCCACACCCAAAACTGCCACACTGCCACACTTTTGTTGATGGATGCCAGGATGCAGTTTTCCCTGTTGTGATAGGCGACTGTCAGTAAAGGTCAGCGAGGAGACAGGAGAGGCAGGAGACTGCCCATAAAGCAGGCTAGCAAATTGCGATGCTGTCGATAAGGGCCTCAGGCTGGCTGTCATATAAAACAGAGTGATATCAAGCAGGGCCATATGTAAATGAAGAGCGACAGGCATTGATCCAGCACATTCTTTAGCACTTTAAGCTGATTAATTTGTGGCATAAAACCTCTGGCTATTCCCACTTGCACTTCCGCACTCAGCCTTAAATTTCTGCGTAAATGAATGGCAAGTACTTGCAGCAGTAGGGAACACAGTTAGTGGCAAAAGTAAACATCCATAATGAGTCTATTTAAAGAGCATATTAAGCAGTGTTGCTCTGTGTGTGTGTGTGTGTGTGGCACGTTGCACCATGCGTAATGCCCATAAATGTTGTGGTCTGTCAGGGTCGGAGCAGCTGCCTGTGAACTTCATCCGCCTGCTGCTGCCACCGCCCCCTAATACATAGCAGCAGCCACAGAATGGCCCAAGCGGGCGAGTGAGTCGCTTTTAATTAATGCCACAGCACATTTATGCCGCATAAATTTGTGCTTAGTATGCCGGAAAAAAGGCAGTGGAACCTGGTCCATGGAACATTCGATTTTTCTCTATTTTTACGGCCTATTTTTGATTCAAAGTAAGGCCATTTTGGAGTCGATTTATAAGAGGGGGGAAATGGAATTTATTTAAATTAGTTCGAGGCCAGGCAGAGTCACTTTAATTAAGATAAAATCTGATATAAATCTAGGAAGTATAAAAAACCTGAAGCAAGATGAGATAAATCATTTTGGGACACACATCAAGGAACAAGGAACAGGCCTTGTGGCCTCTGCATCAAATACCGCGAATGCTAAGCAACGGAGCAGCATATTGCAATTCATGGCATACTTTACAGCACGGCACAAACAGATGCTCATCGTACACACCCAACCAGAACACACACACTCAGGATAGCTGTCACAGCAAATCCACTTAAAATGACTGCCAACTGTCAAAGTGTCACCTGTTTTCGGGGCCACACGCCACACAGACACAACAGCAGAGGAATAGAAGCAAAAGCAAAAGCAGAACCAGTACCAAAACCAGGAACCAGCAACCAAGAAAGCAGCGACAGGCAGCAAAAAAAAAATGAGCAACAATCCACAAAATGGCTGCCCTAGAACACAATTGTCACCTTCCACTTCACTGCCTCCTCAACGACCTCCTTTTTTTTTCTTTTCTGATTCTGGTGCTTCTTCTTTTTCGTATTTTTTTTTTTGCTCTCTTGATTCCTTGATTTTTCTTTTTTGGTGCGGCTTTTATGCAGCTCTTTTTTTTTTGTGCGCACAATTGAAAATTTATAAAAAGCGGATGTTGTGTGTTTCCGGCGGAAAAAACTTGGCTGCTGCAAGCTCGTGGCTCGAGGCTCGAGCTCTTGGCAGAGGCAGTACGAGTAAAAAATCAGAAGGATTCACGCTCAGCGGAAACGAGCAGAACTTGATTCAATTCAAAGACGCAAATGAAAAAAACAGAATGACGGCGACGGTGTCCAAAATGGCCAAAAATTAAGACGGGCCCAGTCGCACTGTAAAAGGCGGTAATTCCACTGCAATGCGAAGGTCATGTCATCTATGGACACATTCAAGGGGGAAAAGATGACTGGAGATTGTCGGCACAGAATCATTTCAATAGAATCTGAAAGGGGTTCAAGTAAAGGTAAATAAACAAGAAGTACAAGAAGATTGAACAAGAAGATTATCGAGTTACAGATAACCGTAGGCAGTATTCTGTTTCTACATATATATATATTTGATATTATTCTGATATATTTTTCTAATCTATTTTTTGTATAAAGCACAAACAGACATTCAGGCTACTCACCCCCAAAACTAGGCTGCAACAAAACAGCAAAACATTTGCCAGAATGTATCTTATTTATGCAGCATGCAGCCATTTGCCACTACATTTGTACGAGTGTTCGCATCTGTCTGATTGTATGCATTGAAATTGGAACCACCACAACACAACAACAGATATCCATAATTAATACTCAAATATTCAGTTGGAATGTTATTTTGCTGGTTTGTTGAAATTAAATTTCCAATCATGCCCCATGGCTTCTGTAATTTCACACACTAATTCCAAATTGGATATTTTAATAGTGTTTGGGGGGTCGTTCTACTTCACCTCCACCTCCACTCACGCAATGTCTGTTGTTTTTATAGATAAAATGCAAATTGATATTTTGACAGAGTGAAATACAGCGAGGGTGGGGCAGTGGGAGGAATTAATGGCCGGCAAAATCTGTCAGCCCATGACATAATTGATTTTGATTATGACTGAGTCGCGTTTGGTGCCGCCCACCACAAAACAAAACAAAAACAAAAAATAAATATTCACGCTTGGAATAAAGGTGGGGAAAATGCCACAAACAAAAGCCCCACAAACACGTTGATAAGCTGGTTTCTTATCCGCCGGAAAACCCAAATCAAAAGCATTGTAAAAGCAACAACGAACGACAACTTGATCCAATTCTGAAACAGGAAAATGCCAGGATAAATAT